TAACTTAAATTTGCCGAAAAAAGTCAAATCCATCAAAGTTCAATAATCGCTACCCGTTCTTGGTTCTGGTCACCGGCCACCCCAAAACCCTAACCCAAAAAAATTGATGAACGACCAATGATCGAAGGTCGGTAATCTCACCGTTGCGTCGACAGTGATCGCAGAACGTCGGTGGAGATCGTCGGACGCACTCCTCCACCGTATACAACGGCACGACGGCGCCGGACTTCTCGTCGACGAGCATCGTGCTCCACGTCGGCATCCCCAGCGCTGCCCTCTCCTCCACGTCAGCGCACTCCCTGACAAACCTCCTCACGTTGTCTCTAAAAGCACCGGCGAAGTCCGTAGGGCATCCGGGGTCCATGAACGTACGGACGCCGTAGATCTTGGAGCGCCGCCGCCGCTTAGATGCCGGGTCGAAGATTACCACCGTCGGCATCGCCGTCGAGGTCGACGGAGTTTTCTCCTTGGATTGATTGGAACGCCACGCTGTCGGGAGGTCCACCGATGGATCGATTAGAGCGGGATCGGTATCTTTTGGGAGAAGAGGAAATTACGGGTTTGGGGTTGAGTTGGGGACTAGAAGGTCATTTTGTTATTTGTCCAGGTTTCTTGGGATTTCTCGTAACAGAATTAGTACGGACAAGATGAGGCAGTTACGGTAGTGGGGAAAGGGAAGTTGGGGGCTTGGGGGATGGCGTGGCGTCTTTTGATTAGTTGAGTTGGGCAAATCTCTCGGATGTGGAGACTTTGGGAAGTTGGGGACCAGAAGGGCCCGTCGTTTGTTTCACGTTTTTGAGAGGGAAAACACTGACATAAATCTGATTTTTATCAGAATTGTGTCAGAAATCAAGCCAAAACGTCTCAATTTGAGACGTTTTGGCTTGAATTCTGACACAATACTGACAAAGTGTCAGTGTTTCCCGTCCCAAATTGTAGAAACAAACGCGCCCTATTCTTCTATACTACTTTATCATTATTAATCATAAAAAGTGGGGTTATAATGACTCACAATTTAAAAATTATAGTGGCTAGTGTTATGGTGTTCCCATTCGTCAAAGTGTAACTCATTATCAAATAACGGACATGTGTACTTATGCGTGTAATGCCCCATAAGTTGTCGGCTAGAGACCAGTAAGGATTCCGACCTAGCCGACTTGTCGAGTCGACATTCCTCTTGTCGAGTCGAAAGGCGGTACTAGTTGACCCTCTTGTCGAAGACGACTCGCCATGAGCCCACTCGACCATTTATTGGACGCCTCGTGAGGACGACTCGAAAGTCGTTACTTCTCGGGGAAGTTAAATGAATATTTCTACCTCGAGGCTTTCCCACTGGTAACATGTCAACATCGCATTTAATGAATGACAGACACATCATATCTCTGGCCCCGATAGCCTTCATGACTCATCAGACTACGTGGGCACTGTCATGCCGCAAATCATTTCCCGTTTAATGTTGAAGTGATCCTTCCCTCACTCGCCAGCCGACACCTGTAAAGTAGAGGCTGACTCAGCTGCCAGCCCACACTTCGCCACCGCTATCTTGTGCTCAGTTGAAGTGACCAATCTACCCTTATACTCTCGGTATAAATACATGTACTATTTGAACATAAGAGGGACTTTTCTGGATCTTTTCGATCTGATTTGATCTTTAAGCAAAGACATTGTACACCAATAAGAACTCACATCTTCATTTTTCTCCATTCAAGTTCATTAGCTGACTTGACCATAGGAGGAACCACGGGGGATCCAAGCCCCGTCCTCTCACGAATTCCTACATGTGCAAGATTTTCAACGACCCAACTCAAGAACATGACATAAAGTCGAGGAAGAAAGCGACCCCTCATCAATACTGAATAACTCCATCCAACCACGGATACAACTGACTGTGTTATCGTTTAACATCAACAGCTAGTGTTATGGTGTTCTCAGTCGCCAAAGTACGGCATTTTGCCAGCAATGGACAGGTGTCCCCCTACGTGTACTGCTCAAATCGAATTGACGGTCAGGACCCCCAAGAATCTTGACTTAGCGGACTCGCGGAATTGACATCCCCTTAGGTCGACTCGAAGGGTGGTACTTGTTGTTCTCTTGTCGAAGATGACTTGCTACGAGCCCACTTGACCAGTTATTCGACACATTGCGTGGTTGACTAAAAATGCGTTACTTCTCGGCCAAGCCAAACGATAACTTCAACCTCGAGCCTCCCCCACTGACAACGCGTCGACGTCACATTTAGTGCTTGGCAGGCGCCATCATATTTCTAGCCTCGATAGTCTTCATGACTCATCGAACCACATCGACACCACCATGCCCCCGATCACTTTACATTAAATGCTAGGGTGACATTTCTTCTACTCGTCGATCGACACTTGTAAAGTAGGTGCTGACATTGTCAAACTCAGTGATTCTTTCCAAGGGTGGAAGACTCAAAGTGCTTATGTAGGAGTCCGCTTGTCAAAATCAAACTACAGTGACAATAAGTTTAAAATTGTGATACTATAAGGGTTTATGCGCAATTTACCCTTTCCAAAATAACCTCAAAAAAT